TTCAGTCATAATATTTGCCCAGTGATCTGTCTGGCTGAGTTTCAGTGAGTGGCTGCCACTCTTTAAATTCAACAATTATGCCTGCTTTTCTCTCAGACCTACAATTGTGCATTCCCCCCCTAATCTATATCATATCAATGTGTTTGCACCTAAAATAACCTGTACGTGAATAGATTTCCTCTAACACTTCCACTTGCTAAATCAAGATAGAGAGAACAACTGAAGCTGGAGGATGAAACGGGGTTGGGATCAGGATCATTGGTTGGGTAGTGGCAAGGGTGACTGAGAATATAGAATTTTAACCTATTTATCATATACATTTACAGTTACTATTGATGACAAATGTATAATTAATTATAATGAATTTATATTTTGAATAAAATTTCCTTCTGTAGTAATGGAACAGCACAGACAGCTTTGAGTTAGTTGACTTCATGCTGTCAGTGGCAAAGGCAGTTTGACATGCGTAGTCTGTCAGTGCTGAGAGGAAATCAATTTTTTACTTCATGTCTGTGATCTTGAAAAGCATAAGACAAATTCATTAACACATGCAAATGACTTTAATTGCAATTATCTCCATATCTGTATAAGTGAAGAGAGGGGTCTCCCAATCTCCCTCCGTAGCGCAAGTTTCATGCCACACTCAAACCAATCAAGCCTCATCTGCATATCACTAATTAGCCTCACAAATTCGAGATCCAATTAGCAAAGTTATAAGATGAGGAGAATAGAAGTTTCACATGGTATGACTTACAATTGGCCCCAGTGGTTGGTGAATGAGGCTCATTATGAATTATTCAGAGAAAAGAAAACTATACTGCTACATTTTGTGCGATCATAGCTAATTTGGATTTGGGTGAATCATCTCTTTAACTGAGCTGAACACAAAGCTAAGTGTGTTTGTAGAAACTGTGCTTTTATTCATTATTTACCTTCATAGTGATCTGACACATAAGCCTGGCAAATACCTGAGACAAAACAAAAACCTTTAAGTTGATTTAGGCAAATCTTTTGTGAAGACTGACTGAAAACCCAGATAAATGTGTTCACCCACCATCATTAGAGAAAAGCACTTTGAAACACTGCCATTACAGCTTCATTGTTACTGTGAATGTCAAGCTAATTGGACTAACCCTGTGAGAGGGGCTGCTGAGTTCTCCGGGACCACTAATTTGAAGAGTCACAGCTGGCTGCTCATGTGTGCCTCTACCTGTCCTGTGCGCTTCACTTCATCCTTTAATTCTGATCTGCACAAAGCCACACAAACTGTATGGCAGGGGAGTGATCCTAAAATTAGAGAAGGGATGACCATGTAGTTTCCATGCCAAAGGGTAATTTAAAGATGTTTCCTGCCAAAAAGCAATCATAACAAACCACAGCAGAGATCTTGGAAAGATCATAGAGCAGTGAACATGTTAAAAATGTCAAGTTAAATCTTTTAATTTGAAATGACAAAGAATGGAGCAACATGAAAGTTTGTATGGTTGACAACAATGCATATTCTGTATTGTATTTTGCCTTCCCCTTCCCCCTTGGGAAGCTACAGAGTACACAAACTGCTGCCTGCCTGGTGTACACAGGAAGAAGCTCACTCTCTTTTAATTAGACCAGCTCACGAGATCAGGCTTCATTAGGCTGCAACACTGGAGTGCAGCAAAAGCCCATGCAGGCCTCCAATGCATCCCACTTTAATTGCTTCTGTGATGGCCTCGGTTCAGGCCTTTGAAATCCCATTCCTGTGGGTAATCAGCCATGTCTGTTTGAGAACTGCAAGCCTTTCTTACTTCTCAGTCTGAAACAGCTACCTGTAACTCTCTGTGCTTTTACTGTAGCTTTAACCAAATCATCCACATCACGTATAAGACCCAGCTAAATTATCAGCTCTTTTACAAGGACTTATTCTCTTTCTATGCAGTTTAGAGAAATAAAACTACTGGTTGTGGGGGGGAAAACACAAAAGCAACACAGAGAATATACTGCAGCACACAACACAGTGGGATTTTAGTGCACTTAAAACATTGTCTCAATCTTCCTTCACGCTAATTTCATAAACTATGAACAGATCAGCTTAAACAGTAAGAGTTTGAGTGAGAATACTGCCATAACCATTTAGAATGTACAGTATATGTCATTGCTGCTCAGTCTCTTGTAGAATAATTTTACCAAACACAATTATAAACACTGTATATATTACTGTTTGGAATGATCAACACCAGAATAAAAGATTTTGATTAATTACACAGAGATGCATTGACAAGGAGGGGGAGCCTTGATCTTCTTAGTCCTTTAGCTGCATTCCTACCACTGTCAAGCATCTCCACTCATAAATTGTATAGAAATGATTATGAATCCAGAAAGCTTGGTTAGTGGGATCCCAGATTTTTGGGGGGCATATCATGAAATACAAGTAGAGCCCCAATGTTTTGTGCTTTAAATAACAATACTTAATAGTCTACAGCCACGCTAACAGCAGTGAGGCTGTAATGTTCATTGTAAAGGAAATGAAACAGAAAGCTGAAGTCAAAAGTTGGAATAAATGAAATGTGAAATAAATGTAAAGATAGGTTTCATATTTTATAGCCTTGGCAACTGCCTCTATCAGTTATGATAACATTCTACTCAAAGTAGTTGATGAGATCTGGGAGCATGGCAACATTGGTAAAAATAGTTCCAATGGAGAAAGATAGAGCCCTGGCTGTACAGGCTGGCTACATCCAAACCATGTTTGGAGGTAAAAAGTGAGCACATCTGACATATTGTTAATCATTGCTCAGTGGGGACACTACTTTAAAGGATAAGGCTGGTCATTTTCTATATTAACAGTATTTTCAACACTCCCCATACAGAGGCTAAAACCGGCAATGATTTTCCTCTACCCACAGTTAATGTCAGTCAGTCTGCCAGCCCTGGATTGGGATATTTGTCTGTGCCATAGACCTCCATTGTTGTTCAAAATTCATTAAAAACACAATACTAGCCTGGGGAGTTGCGTTTAATAACATACAAAAAACCCTCCATAGTGCCAGAAAAGCATATTATCACTAATAGAGGAAAAATAAGAACAACCCCAGGTTTCTTTTCAGCACTGTAACCAGGCTGACAAAGAGCCATAATGCTGTTGAGCTTTGTATTAGATCTCAGTAGTAATGACTTCATGAGCTTCTTCACAAATAGTCACTTATTGACTTAATGTAGAAAAAAATCCATCAGATCCTTCCCACACCTCTCACAGATGTATCATCAAGTAGCTTTAGAAACATCTGTAAGACCTCATTATCTCCACCAAGGAGGTTATGTTTTTGGTTCTCTGTGAGTGTGCTTGTTTGTTTGGTAGCAGGATTACAGACAAACGGCTGGATAGATCTTCGGCACACTTGGTACAGACATCGGTAGGGATCAACCCTAGAAGTTATTATAGTTTGGCTGAAAAATGTCAAAGGTCAAGGTCACAAAAGAATCACACAAAACAAATCCCATCTTTAACATGAGGCAAACATCAAAAAATCATATCTCTGTCAAAAGTTAGTAAAGTTTGTTTGAAATGTGACACACATACCTGTATATAGGGTGGCAATGTCTATCACCAAACCAAATTTCATCCAGATCTGATTTATTTACACGTAACATTGAAATCCCCATTTAATGCATATTTTCTACCATAACGTGGCCTATAATGAAGATAGAACAGTGAGAAGAAATAATTCACTGTTGTTTTGGTCTCTATATGGGGAGTGTTTAAAATACTGTTAACATAGAAAATGACCAACAATATCCCTTAAGAACTTTTCAGAAATGTACTGCAACTAGACATTAGCTGGAAGAGCTGCATATGTGAATGCAAATGTTGAGCTGGACATTGAGTGGACTTTACCCATGCAGCACATAGTTTGGGTAACGCCTGAGTGAGCCCATGTGTGAATATGTGAATACAGCAGCTTAAACCAGAGTATTCACACCAAGCTAGTGGGCTTGTTGATGACGTTCTATCATCTGAATGGCGTGAAACAGGATAAATACAAACAGATGATGAAGACGCCAATGAAAATGTATAACTGGAGACACGGTGGGATTTGGGAACTTCTGTTGTTAAGGGCCAACAAGTATAAATTCTGGTATAAAGGTCAATAGCCAAGTCTCAAATAGTAGCGGCCTCCACAAACAAATAAAGGCTGAATGAAAAACTGTGGGAGGGCAGAACTGTTGCCTACACCAATGGCTCACATGATAAATTCAGCCAAATGGACATTTCTACAAGCCCTAATTCCATCAGTAGAACAACAGAGTCATGTCATACTCACCACTGAGTCCTCTGTGTTTCTCATTCACAAAAATAAAATCATCATCATTTCATTCTCTAGTTAATCCCAGCAATTTCTTTCTTTCTTTTTTATTGTAATTCTGATTAAGGCTAAACTACCATCACCATCAAAAGTTAACATGGAGGAGGTGCTGTGTTTGCATTAGCTGAGGAAACCACAAATTAAGGCCTGCTCTCTCTATCATTGAGGTAAATAAAGGCCTCAGCTGCAATTTGAGAATTTACAGTATAAACAATATATGGTTAATGGATTTAAACGGGGGGAAAAAACACTTGTATCGTCCTTTATTACTGTATGTACTGTAGTCTGACAAAAGAAGCGTTGGTAGCAGAAGGTGACTATCACATCCCCCAACCCACTGTAGTAAAAAGCCCAAAACAATCTGGAGAGTTTGAATATTTCGCAAAGAATTACAGCAAAATCACCTTTTCAATATCAATATGTAGATTTGTTTGTGTTCAGATGTCTAGAATCACAACTCAGGACATTCAGGAGTTTTGTACTCCTACCAAAAATGGTCAAGAGTACATGGAGAAAGGTGATTCAGTTTCTTTCTGAAACACTGAAATGGGATAATTCCATGACAAGCCTTCCATTTCTCCCCTGTCAGCCATGCTAGTCCTTTTCAGTAATACTGCCATAGTTTACAATAGACAATAGTCTACCACATCAATAAATTCCAGTCATCCTCAGGATCCTCAACCCTCTAACAAAACACAGAACTTGTTCAGGTAGGATTCCTCATAGTCTTCTCAGAAATTGAAACCGGTAGCAGGAGTGTATATATCCACTGTAGAAGTCCATCAGCATGGAGGGAGGTCAACCAATGGCACGACTCGTAGGAAGAGCAGAAGTGTGAAGAAGAGACAGTGTGAAGAAAGTGAGGGGAGAAGGCACACAGTTAGTTTCCCATCCTTTCCCTCAGCACACCTGCAGACAGTGGAGAGGGGTCATTATGCAATAAACAAAGAAACACACAAGAAATATTCACATTATGAAATTCTACATATTACTGCTGCTGTTTTGCTGCAGTGCCCCCACCCATTAAAAACAGATGCACCAGAGCAGTATTTTATCTTTAGCCAATTTCAGTTAGAATGTCTAGACTTTTTTCACTGAGGATTATGTTGACCATAAGCATTCCACTAAAGCAGACAGCTGTTTATATACAACTAAACAGCAAATATGTGTTTCGAGTATCTTCTTTCTGCTCTCCAACATTTGCTGTTGAGGGCACGGCACTCTTGGCCAGACTTTCTTCATGTCTTGGCCAGCTATTCCTACCATGATTTTCACCTGTAGCATTACTGTTTGTGCTTTGTGACTGCCATCTATTGCCTAAACAGGACAGTGGATGCAAACCCCGGTCTCTGGGGTGAGAGTTGTGCTTACCAGCCATGTACATAGTAACCTGGCGGGTACTGGCCATGGAATAGCTTGCATTATTATATATTGCTACTGTACGTACAGACCAAAATGATTTTTTCTTAAAAGGCAGCAAACAGCTTTACCAAATCAAATGATTTTTTAGATCTGTGTAGTCAAATCCAAAATGCTTCCACATATTACCTCTTGAATGGTTTGGATTATTCAGTCATTTCCTTCTATTTCTTTAACTTCCTCAATTTTGTTAAGGAAGAGAGTTTAATTTGCTGAGAGCAACACCAAGATACTCTTTGAGGTTGTTTATTGTGTGGATGCTGTAAAGCATCCACACTATGCTCTCCTGTTCTTTATTGTGTGGATGCGTAAACTGTTTATCTCCTTAAGGACATGTGTGCTTGTATACAACTTTTTTTATAACTTTTATACTTTTTTAAGATATTCAGCTTTTTTTACAGAAATTTCCCCATTGGAAATGAATGGGGCAAAGTTTGAAGCTTAATATCTCCGGCATACCTTGGGCTAGAAACGCCATTTCAACTCTATTCAACTCGTGAGA